TTTGGGGAACCCTATGATTATGAGGTGTTCTAATTCGATATACAGTAAAACAGGTGAATAGTCAGAAAAGAAACAACCCGGTTCGACTTTGGTTTGAGAAAGAAATATAAAAGATAGGAGTTCAACAAGATAAAATACTGTAAGTTGTGAGAGAGAACGAATGAAACATTATTGATTATATTAAAAAACAACAATTCGTTGTATTTAAACGAATGAGTCAATTCCTGATAGACATAGGTACAACCCAAGTAAAAGTGATGTATATAAGAAGAGAAAGTGAAGTGTAAGTCTGGAATGATCGTAACAAAGTGGTGTTAAAGAGATATACAACATTACACTGGCTACTAAACGTCAAACAATGTCAAAATGTAGTTATTATACATTCCATTCCATTACAACTTTATATCTGCTATCACGTTGCTCTCTGATTTGCATATTCAAAGTTATTAATAAATAATGTGCTAGTCCTTCTCTGTGCACATAAAGTAGGCATTGATATCAGTTATTATAATTCAATCACTATTTTATCATGACATTAGGTTTTAAGGTCTCCAGGATCACCAGGATCTTATTTAATGGTGCCCATGTTTTTTGTATGAAAACCCTCCCCTTTTGAGTTGCTAATTCCCAATACTTTCACACTTAACATCACAAGCAAGCTGCTTAGGATTTAAAGACGTTCATTGTAACAAAACTTGGAATAATGTTCATAAATCACAACCTATTATTAATCACATTGTTATTCTACATACATGTCAAGTTTTAGCAGGTTTTTATAATACTGTTTACATTTTCTTAGCACTCTTTTTATAAGTATATTTCTATCGACCTCTCCTTCATTTCTCTGAAAAGGGATCAAAGGCAGCCTGGAGGGATCGCCTTTTTTAACTACTCTTACCACAATACAGTTGTGTGTTGTCTGTCAGTCAGTTAGTAGATACTAAAATGACGTCAAATAAGAGACGCTTAATGTTGCAGTTTGTACTGTCGTGACGTCAGTAAAACGTGTACATGCCGTGAATCACGAGAAGAGTTATACACTTTGTAAGCTAGAACACAGTATTACATATGAACTTCAAAAGTAAGAAATGAAAATAATTGTTACTCTTAATTTTCGTTTTACTTACTCTTGAAACAGAAAACTTTTAGGGACCCTGCGGAAGTACGTCTGGTTAATAGTATTTTCTTTTAAATGGAAGTTTGCTAGTCAACGAATTCATTATATAATTATCTTAAGAACTATGTTTACTGATAATTAGTAATTATCACGAATGCAGCTTAAAATTGAAAGAAATAATAAATAAATATATTCTATAGAAAGAGTTGCTGCAAAAATACAAGAATGCAAAAAAAAAAGATTAGGCTGCGATTTTAAAATCATTTGAGGCTGAGTTCAATGTTAGACTAATGAACAATTGGAAGTTAATTATATCAAGTTTAGAATCGTATCACCTAAGAGTAATGTAATAACGGTGAGCCAATGATATCTACGTCTTAACTTCTAATTATTTGTAGCAAATTACATATATTTATTTAACGAAACAACATTTTTGAGAATGAAAGGTTAAAATTCGCGTCTCCAAGTTAAGACATACAACTTTTATTTATCTTACTGGTAGAATTCAAAGGTTAATTTTATATACATTTACAAATAAAAGTTCAGCAAATGAATAAGTTTTATGGTTTGTGAATTGTCTTTTTATGCCTACTTATAATTTGGTTTTATATAGGTATTTGAGAACTAAATAAAATTAATGCTGCTAGTTTATTTTTCCATACTGTTTACCTGATTGGCGATTTGAAAAGGACGCATCACCTATATATATATTTCTGTTTGATCAGACAGTTGAACGGGTACAAGGAAACAGTCGTTCTCGCACACTAACTGGATTATGGAAACCCTGCAAAGAGGAATGGCATGTTTTGGACATGATACCCTTACAACAAATCCTTTTTCTATGAAAAATACATTTCAGATCTATTTTCAAGATACACGGTCATCAAATAAAGCATGACCTGATGTGATTACATGCACCGAAGCAATGTGGTGAGGCTCCAAATCCGTTATAATATAACACACTCGTCCTCTGTACATTAATTCAGTTACTAATTATAAATAAAAGAACATTAGAATTAGTAACCTTATTATTTTTTTCAGTGATTTCCCTGTTATTCTTCTCTAACCATTATATCTGTTAGAGACGGAAATTAATAGTCAGTTCTTTTTTAAGTGTTTAATATTGATTATGATTAGCGTCTGGTTTCCTACAATATATTTTATCAAATTTTCTCAGTACCGGTGCCTTTCCATCTGTTCTACTTTTGTAGATTAGTACTCCAAGATTTTATCCTTAAGTTTCATTCTGAATTAGGCAGTTGCTATTCATTCCAATTTTGTCTGCTCATCATGAAGACTGTGTAAAAATCATCTATGAAAGAAGTATTTACCTTGTATTCACTTGATGGTCTGTAGAGAATCATTTGTTTCTTGTCCGAGTCGTTTAAGTACCCGCAGAGCCATCTATTGTTGTAACAAAACTTCATTTTTCACTTGCAGAATACTTTTCTACGCTTTTGTACAGTTTATGTTTCTTTCACCAATGTCACAGGGAAACAAACTGCACATTTGTATTTTATGTTTCTTTACGACAGTAAGGTTTTTTGTGCACACTCTTATACACAGTCTTTTCAATGGACAATTACACAAAAATGTATACTGATGATAAGATATACTAAGGTGTCCAAATTATCAAATGGCTCAGTCCGCAATTCAAACAGTGGAAGCTAATTCTCAGAATTAAAAATGCATTAGCTATCAAATTTCATAACTTATTACTCTGTAATTTTTTCAATAAATGTAAACAAACTCTCTCATTCCTACCTGGAATTGTTTTAAACGTTAATATCTTATTATTTAAGCTGGTTGACAATTATGATAACAACTGCATTTCTTATTAAAGTATTATTTAAAAAGTATTAAAGTATTACTTTCTTTTTGAGTGATGTAAGTAGTATTAACAACCGTATTCCTAATGGTGTTGAGGAAGTATTGATACATAAAATGTATTTTTGTAAAGCCACCACATCCTTGTATTGAACTGTATATTGATAGATGTAATGAAAGATGCTAATCTACGTATGGCAATATAGATAGATACATAATGAAAGATGCTAATCTAAGTATGGCAATATAGATACATATTAGATATAGATACAATATAGATACATATTAGATATAGATACAATATAGATACATATTAGATATAGATACAATATAGAAAGATGTTAATCGAAGTATTGCAATATAGATATATATAATGAAATGTGTTAATCTAACTATGGCAATATCGATACATAAGTAAAGATGCTAATCTAATATGGCAATATCTATAATAATAAAAGAGCATGTCTCTTTGTCTGTGTGTGTGTGTGAGCGATATAAATCCAGAAGGAAAGAACCTAGAAACCTGAAATTCTGCACCCATGCTAAGTGGACTCTGAGAGTTTGCACCTGGGTATTATTACTTATCTTATCCACGTGCGTGCGCGCATGCGCATCTTTTTAATGATCCAAGCTAGCGAAAAACCACATAGAAAAGAAGTGGTTCCTTTAATCACAAAATACTAAGTGAACCCTGAGGGTGTGCACCTGGGTATTATTAATTATCTTATCCACGTGCATACGCGCCAGCGCGTGCGCATCATTTTAATGAGGTAAGCTAGCGAAAAACCTAATAACCCGAGCGAAGCCGTGTACTTTCGCTTGTAGATACATAATGAAAGATGCTAAACTAAGTATAGCAATATAGATACATAACGAAAGATGCTAAACTAAGTATAGCAATATAGATACATAACGAAAGATGCTAAACTAAGTATGGCAATATAGATACATAATGAAAGATGCTAAACTAGATATGGCAATATAGATAAATAATGAAAGATGCTAATCTAGGTTGGACAATACCGCAACATTTTGAAAGATGCTAATCTACGTATGGCGATATAGATACATAATCAAAGATGCTAATCTAAGTATAGCAATATAGATACATAATGAAAATGCTAATCTAAGTATAGTAATATAGATACATAATGAAAATGCTAATCTAGTTTGAGCAATACACCTACATAGTGGAGGGTCCTAACCTAGGTTAGACAATAAAACTAGATAATAAAATATTTTAATGTAGCTAGAGCAATACAGCAACATAATGAAAGATCCTAAGCTAGATTAGGGAATACATTTACATAATTAAAGATCTTAATCTACGTATGGAAACACACCTACATAATGAAAGATGCTAATCTAGGTTGGGCAATACATATACATAATGAAAGTTCTCAACCTAGATTGGGCAGTAGGGCTACATAATGAAATATTTTGAACTAGATTGGGCAATAATACTACATAATGAGAGATCCATGAGTAAACCTATGATGATTCAAACCAATTTATACAATTTGAATAACACAAGAGGTTCCTAAAATAGAAACGTAATTGAAGCAAATTTATATAAACCACCATTTGAAGTAAATATACTAAAATCACTTGTTAGTAAATATTGTAGAGTTTACTGTTTCACAATATAGATAAATGTTTCAATAAACTTTGAACTCAATAAGATCTCGAAAGTGGTTCTAATTCAGTAAATTAGATATTAAATGCTCCGTGCTTTGCCCACCTGCAGACTTAACACTGAGCTAGTGTGGGTATGCACGATACTCTAGTTTTCCTAACGTCCTGATTTTTCATGGTGCATTGAAAAAATTTGTAAAATAACATTCGATTCGAAATCGTTTGTAAAGTGGTTATGCTAATTAAGTACTTCTAGATTACAAATGTCCATATCTACTAGCTACAATATAATTAGTGAGTTTTTAAATTACTTAATGCACCGTAATTCTCCGCATGCATATTTACGATACTTCTTTTATTTCGCGTATTGTCTGCATAACGTTACATCATTCCTGTTACTAAGACGGTCATTGTTACTTACCCTTACATTCATTGACATTTTGAGAAGTAGCTGGTCCCCAAGGTTTATCCTGGTAAAATGGTAAACATTTATCACAGTCTGGCCCGGTTGTGTTGTGTTCACACAAACATCTCCTTGACGACGAATTGCGCAGGGTAATGCACTTTTTAGCATGGCCGTTGCATTTACATCTTAGAAATGAAAAAGAGTGTAAGTAATTTATAATTCACAACAAAATATTTATGTGTGCTATGTGCGTATGGATGGATAGATAAGTAGGTCACGTAGACAGATTGATAGATAAATACAACCGTATAGTCTTGTGCTTAATTCCTACAAATATATATTAATAAAATATATACAAGGCTGATACCTTCACCTTTCAAAATTCAAGTTAATACAAGCAAAGTGTCTGAAATTCCATGGTGCTAATTATTGATTTTTATCTATAAAGTTTTATGTTTCAAACTAGGCACGGTATTGTAATTAGTTTATTATGTTTTCAGCTTCAGCTATCAACATAAAATATTTTGTTAAATAAAATCAGTCAGACAACTATATTAATATCTCAATCAATGGAAGGGCTAATTCATTTGTATATATTTGTGTATGTGTGTGTGTGTGTATTATTTAGACAGAAACTAATCATTATTGTTCTGTCTACGGTTTCTGAAACACATATTTGGTATAAACCAAAAGAAACAAAATAAACCTACCGTCCTCCCACAGCAAGGTCGGTGATAGCGTAATAATATGTTTTCAAAACTTTAGCATCTTCAAAAATTTCGTCGCCAAATGTGTTCATTTTATCCAACGATATTCGAATATCTGTAGCGGTGACCCAGTCCTAAATATAGACCAATGTTATAAGAACTCGACAGTGAGAACCAAAATTACTGGTTTATTGGAGTAAAACGATACATATAAATATGTAGCAACGTATTTGTCTGCTACTCCAGTAAAATTTCTAGACACTGAAACATGGATTAAGCAAAAAAAAAATTTTTTCTGAAACTGTACTCCGTTTTTCTCTTTAATTTAATTGACAATTTTTTAAATTTTGGTCCATTCTTTTGTCTTCTCAAACTACTTGTATCATCTGTATGGTACCGTGAATACCTTAAAATAAGATGCTCATTTAGTCAATTTGACTCAGGTGGTTACAATAAAATCAACCACAGTTAAAATAGGTTTAATTTTGTGTTTTATATAGACAAACTAGCTTTAAAATGTGATCTCCAGTTGCTTCTTTGTTTTGAGAAAACAAATTAAACAAGAAAAATGTTTATCTATTAGAGATTATTGCATCTTTAATTAACTGATTGCAAATATTTCTAGTTTTAATATGTTACTTATTACAATTTTGAATGGTCTGAAACTGGGTTAACTTGTACTTTGGATTTAGTATTTAAATAAATGTATTCAATTTATGATATTTGCCAACAAGATTGATAAACACAGCTTCTTTTGTTTTATACAAATATGTTTTAATATATAAACAATAATACAATTTACAATAACAGTTATTACAAACAATGATTTATATACACAAGTTTTACAAACTTACAAGTAATATAAAGGCTTCTTTCTAATCTGGAACTTCCTTGATATCTTAGCGAGGGTTCACGATGAGCGAGTTAATTTCGAGTTGACGTAGTAACAATTCACTTAATAGGAAGTTAGCTAGCTCTGTGGGTCTCGCTGATCACACATCGATTACTGGTCGAACTTTTGTTTTTTACCGCTGAAGTTTTATGATATATTCGTAAAAGTACTAATGTCTGATGTGAATCCACTGAAGTTAAATGATTTGTAATGTTCGAAATTTATAAATATTCCTGGTCAAATATCTGAAGTTTCTCGATTAATAAGTGTTAATCACAATTATAGCTTCCGAGGTTTATAGTATACCAACTACAGCAACCCAATGATATATATCGTTTTTTGGCGCGTTGCATTGGTTATATTTATAGGTGTGTGGAGAGTTTCTCGAATTTCGGTTTTATGTAACAATACTGACGCTAACACTATCGTTTACGTACACACATATATTGTTGATTCTTACACTCGAGAATCTTCTACAACTTTAGAGAATAGGCGGGAGATTCGCAATACAAATTTAACAGTGTAATTTATGTACATTTCTAAATATATATTTAATTTAAGCAAACATCGACATTAAAATAAGTGTATAATAATAAATCCGTCACAAATACATATGTACTTAATAGACTAAATTATGCAGATCATCATAAGATCAACTTTTTGTTTTAACCTTTTACTCTTTAGTAGTACATCTGGTGGCTCACAGGTAATATTATAACGTTAAAATCCGGGTTCGATACCCACGCAGATGCCCATTTGTGCAGATTTTTATAATAACACAAAGAGGCAAGCTTTTATGACTTTAAAGGACGAATCTCATAAACAAACGATAAATATTTCGTATCATAAAACAATAAAATGTGTTTTCATAGTTTTATGTAAGAGATAAGGAGGGGCCCCCCAGTGACACAGCGGTATGTCTGCGGATTTACAACGCTAGAAACCAGGTTTCGATACCGTGGTGGGCAGAGCACAGATAGCCCTTGTGTAGCTTTGTGCATAATTAAAAACAAAAACAAACATAGATGAGGAATTACGAACAACTTCTTATTAAGTGAGGTTTGTCACTTTTCAAATAACTTACAAAAATAACAAGAAAATAAACAAAAGTGTAATTTATTAGAGGTTATAAATGATAGAACAAAGCGTATTTTGTGTTTTAAATCTATGTAACAACTGTTTCAAACTTAATAAAAAGAGAAAAAAAATGCATACTGGAATGTTTAACAACACCTCATGAAGTACCGTATTTTTCAGTGTAAAAGACGCACTTTTTTACCCCAAAATTTGATGTCAAAATCTGCTTGCATCCTATACACTGAAGGTATCAATAATATATACGAGGCCTGTGAGAAAAGTATCCGACCTTTGGCCGGGGAATAAAAACTGG